AATCACATGGTCTTTGTTCTTGCTTTTATTTATGTGGTGAATTGCATTTATAGATTTACATATATTGAACCAACCTTGCATCTCTGGGATAAAGCCCACCTGGTCATGATGAATTGTTTTTTTGATGTGCCGTTGGATTTTGTTTGCTAAGATTTTGTTGAGGATTTTTACATCTCTATTCATGAGGGATATTGGTTTGTAGTTTTCTTTTTTTGTTGTTTCCTTTCCTGGCTTTGGTATCAAGGTGATATTGGCTTCATAGATTGAGTTAGGGAAGATACCATCATTCTCAATGTTGTGGAATAATTTCTGAAGTATAAGTATGAGTTCCTCTTTGTAGGTTTGGTAAAATTCAGTTGTGAACCCATCTGGTCCAGGACTTTGTTTTTGGTGGAAGATTTTTAATTGCTGCATCAGTCTCTGTGACTGATATTGGTATGTTCAGGAATTCTTATTTTTCTTCCTGAATAAGCCTAGGAAGGTTGGGTGTTTCTAAGTATTTGTCCATTTCCTCCACGTTTTACATATAGATTTTGGGGCATATAGAGTTTTATAATATTCAAAGATAATGCTTTGTATTTCCATGATGTCTGTAGTAACCTCTCTTTTTTTCATTTCTAATTGAGTTTATTAGAGTCCTTTCCTTTCTAGTTCTTATCAATCTAGCAAGAGGGCTGTCAATTTTGTTAATCTTTTTGAAAAACCAACTTTTGGTTTTATTAATCTTCTGTATAGTTCTTTTACTTTCTATTTAATTTAGTTCTGCTCTGATGTTAGTTATTTTTTTTCTTCTGCTAGGTTTAGAATTAATTTGCTCTTCCTTTTCCAGTTCCTTGAGACTGTTTGTTAGTTTGTTGATTTTTGAGCTTTCTGTCTTTTGGATGTGAACATTTAAGGCTATTAGTTTTCCTCTCAGGAATGCTTTTGCTGCATCCCACAGATTTTGATAACTTGTGTCCCCATTATCATTTAGTTTGAAAAATCTTTTGATTTCCATCTGGATCTCTTCCTTGACCCAATAGTCATTCAGCAATAATAGATTGCTTAATTTCCATGACTTTGTGAAGTGGTGAGTGTTTCTTTTGGAATTGATCTCCAGTTTTATACCACTGTGGTCTGAGAAGATACATGGTACAATTCCTACTTTTTTAAATTTGTCGAAATCTGATCTGTGGCCTAGGATGTGACTGATTTTGGAAAAAGTTGCATCTAATGCATCTAACTCACAAAGATGCCTTCACACTCAAGGTCAAGGGGTGGAAAATAAACTTCCAGGAAAATGGAGGCTAAAAGAAAGTGGGAGTAGCTAATCTTATATCAGATAACATAAACTTTAAAATAGTAAAAGTAAAGAAAGACAAATATGGTCACTATATAATGATGAAAGGAAAAATCCAACAAGAAGACTTAACAATTCTTAATATTTATGCACCCAACACAGGAGTGCCAAGATACATAAAGTAAACCCTGTTTAATCTAAATAACTTGATAAACAGTAATGTGATAGTAACAGGGGATTTCAACACCCCACTGACTGAACTCGACAGATCCTCCAGGAAGAAAATAAGCAAAGAAACAATGGACTTAAACAGAGCTCTAGAACAAATGGGTCTAACAGACATCTACAGAACAGTCCACCCAAATAAAGCCGAATATTCATTCTTCTCATCAGCTCATGGAACTTTCTCCAAAATTGATCCCTTTTTTAACTGTGTGGGTGACCACACTCAGGGGCGGCTGGAGTGGATACACCACGAAGAGGACAGAGGACAGACATTTGGCCAGATTGTTTTAAACAAAACCAAAAACAAACATAGTGTTCCAGCATTCTGTGCTGTTGAGACTTATTTGGGGGCCTTTTGTTAAGGAAAACGAAGAAACAAACAAAACCAACAAGCAAGAACATAAAAAAATTATCTCCCCCTGCCCCATTTAAGAGATGATTTCTCTTTCCTCTGCAGTCCTGGGAGGTAAACACAACATCCCTGTTTATTTTGGTGAATCTTACCTGACCCTAGTTAGTAGTTAATTTATTAAAATCTCAACCTTATTATATAAGGACCAAGCCTTGCTGGTCCGTGTAGAGTGTGAGCCAGGACCCACTCTTGATGGAATTAGGTTATAAAAATAAAATACCATTGAAGAGAAATTGGAATATCAATCTAAATTCAAACATATTGTTAGAAAAATCCTAACCAATCTTAAGAAGTCCTTTCCTATCCAAAAATTCTCTATGTTTTATGCTAGATACTTAGAAACCAGCAGAAGGAATGCTTGCTCTGGTCGTCAAGCCCTGGAAAAGTTATTGAGGAACTTTACGTGGAAAGCTTTGCAAATGTGGTATTCTGCTGTTTTGGCAGCTTTGATACCCTCCTGCGCCAATATACTTGGCTGAACCACATAATCTCTTAAAGGGCATTTTAGTCTTATTAACACTTAAAAAATTCATTATGTATTAGTGTTCAAGAAAACATATGTCTTTTTCCAATATATTAGAAAATCTCTAGGATCTGGAAAAATGATATTTGATGATATGGTACAAAAGTTAAAAGTGTTATGCTTTTCAGCTTATATTTTAGGGATTTCTTTTGTCCAAGATGTCTTAGCATATTTGCTAAAGGGAATTTGAGGGAACAAGTTGAAAACCATGCTTTGTGTGAATTTGGTGTTTTCCCAAGCCAAGGTTCCCTTGTGATTTCAACTTTGCATATAAGTGAGTGGCGTCCAGGTGGGGCATGTGGGTAGGGGCTCCACCAGGGTAGCCATGAAGAAGACGGTGGCTGTGCAGTGGCTGTGATCACACGGTTAGAGGATTAAGATGCCTGTGGTGTTTGCACTAAAGACGCTGAGAGAAAGATTAGAGGACTGGAGGAGAGATGAGCCTGAACTTCAGAGGAGAGGTCACCAGAATACAAACATGGTTTTACTGTAATAAGGAAATTTCAAAAGTCTGTTCCTGATACAACATAAGATGACTTGTTATGTATGGCACAGTGTTCAAAATCAGGATACTCAAAATCCCAATTCAAAATCAGGACACTCCCAAGTTTCAAGGGTACTATCGAAGGGCTTAAAGGCCTCCAGGGAGCCACCATGTTTCCACCTCTCAGAGTACGAAGCCCCGGGTCCCTCATATTGTTCCTGAACGTCCCTCTACTCAGCCATTCCTCCCTTTCCACGTGTCCTGCGTGTTCCTCTGCAGTAAATCCTAGGGAGCATTCCCTTTTCAAGTCAGTCCCTCTACCTGACGAAGAACTGACACATCCCTTTTGCCCTTGTGGTCGAGAGCTGACAGGACAAGCTGGCTCTGATGTGTTGTTGGTTCGGAGGCTCTTTCCTGAGGAGCTGTCATGACAGCCTGCCTGACAGTCAGGATGGCCCCACAAAAACCCTTGTGCATAGTGGCACCACAGGACTATTTGGTTAATCTCTGAGACAGAGCCCAGAAATCCTGGTTTAAACTTTACCTATAACTGCATCCGTTACCCATAGGGATAATCTCAGCCAGTGGGAGAAGGTGATTCGAGGGGAGGAGAGTGCGACGTGGATCTCATCCCCGACCGCAGCCCCAGGGACCTCCAAGAAGCTGCCCGTGAAGAGCGCGACCACTGACCACCACTGAGGAGCTGTCCCGCCTAAGCATTCTCATCTTGCTTCTTTGACTTTTTTCCTTTTATTTTTGTGGGGGGACCTACGCCTGGTAACTGGGGTACCAACCTCTCCAAGAAGGTAACATCAAGGAGAGATGTCAGGCAGATGCCCTCCTGCCAGGGTCATCTGTGGGGCATCTCGGGCAGCAGACACCAGGACGACTGTGTTCAGAGAGCAGCCGGCAGGTGACTGACTCCTTTGACTTGCGAACTGGCCTTTCTGATAGGCTGATACTGCTGAGGCCCTAACGGAAGCGGGCAAACCATTCCGAAGGGGCACTTTCCACTGTGTCTGTCACACGAGGGTGTAAAATGGTACTGTGACGGCATTGTACTTCGGCTGTGACACCGATATTGCTTCGATGTTGTTGGTTTTACATAGGAGTTTTTACACATTACTGTTGTGAATGGCCATGAGTGACATGCGTGTAATTAACTTGAGCTGCAGTCCCAGCCTCAGGACAGATGTCATTGAGATCACAGAGCAAGAAGTGGCAGAAAAAGTCAAATTCTTATTTCAAATCTTCATGAATTTAGTTACGTGTGCTGAAGTGTATTCTTTAAGTTTATACTAAAGGGCTTAGATGAATAAATTTGACACTAAGGGGAGTAGACTGTCCTTTTGAGAAGAGATGCAGGCGTACATTATGATAAGTCTCAGAACTTCAAGTATCAATTCAAAATATGTCAAACAATTAAAAATAATTTTTTTCTTCATTGTTGTCTTGGCAAATTTACCGAACCCTTTGCATAAAGAACAAAATAAAAGCAAGGCAGAGCAAATTTTTTTTAATGGATAAGTCTTATGGATGTAAAATGTGAATTTTTAATAATGATTCTTTTATATTTTCATTTTGTTCATTGTAAAATTTTAGACTCACATTCAAAATGAAAAGCCTATTCTAACAATTATTTAATTAAAATACCATACATTTCTTTTTAAAAAAGCAAATTAAACCGTAAAACTTAAGTCTCTTGTATTGTACTTTGATCTGCTGCATCCATCTGCCATTGATCACTTTCCTTGTGCTGCACGTCATATTCCGTAAGCTTCCGTCCATGCAATGGGAGTTGAAGAAGGCAGCAGTGCAATTGCATCGTGCTTGTTTCTGTTCTCCACTCTTCCCACAGATCAAATATCTACATAGCAACCTGTGGTTCGGATAGTTTCTTCTGTGAAACTTCTGCACAACGTAAATGTTTTAGAAAATACAGAAGTAACACTCTGGACCCCTTCCCACAGGGATTACAAGGCAGTCACTACAGGTGCATATTAGTGCTTTACAGATCTTTAGCGCAATGGCACAGTAACCTCTGAACCCGTTAGTTCTAACCTGAAGGAACTAGTAGAGTCTCAAGAACTGTCAGGCCAATCCGTGACAAATAGTGTATTCGCTATTCACACGGCAGAAAACTGGAATGTTACTTTTAATAAAATAAATTTTTAAAATATGCTTCTACATATTTAATACTATATACATTGTTTATATGAGCTTGGTTTTTGCAAAATTAAGAGGCTTCTACAACATGGCTTATTTATGTTGTAGCAGAGTTAGCTATACATAAACATTGTTCTTATGTTAAAATTAACACTATGTGTTCAATTTCCTTACGGGCTTCGGAAAGTTGCCATCTTCCCTACATGGAGCTCCATTTGCTATTTTAATTATACAACATGACGTAAAAATGTAATAACTAAAGGGAGATGAATACCACTGTGGCTAGATACACACACCTGTGGATGGATGTAATGTATGTAGACACAGAGATGTATGTATGATACACACTCATATGTATGTATGTAGACATACACATATATGTATATATATGATATACACACACACCCACATATATATGACAGGAGAGAAAGAGAAGCAAACGCATATGAGAAAGATAAAAATCATCCCCATTCTTCAAAAACAGTGATTTTTGTGTTAGAAAATATATGTTGCTTGATACACAGTTGACTAGAAAGTGTCATTTTTGTGTTAGTGTATTCATTGATTGCATTAAACTCTAAAATGTTGCATATTTTTCTGCATACAAGTTTATGAAACTAGATTCCACCCAATACAACTTTAATTACAAAAGTTAATTTAACCATCTAATTTAACTTGGAGACTGAATTGCAGGAGGGACTATATCATGTAAGATTATTGTTTAATTAAAAGGATTTTAAAGGAATGGAGGAATTCTGCTTTAAAATATAGAAAAGCAATCATGGAGGTGGGAATCTTATGGCTGTTTTTGCATATGAAGAGTGTTCCGATAAGATCATTATAGAAAATTCTCTTAATTTCTTATAGTCAAGTGTATTATATTGTGTGACCTCTACTTTGAACAGTTTCCCAAAGGAATGTATGGATTTATTGGTTGGTTGATTTCTTGTGAAATATTGTCATAAGAGAAGCACAGTTTGAACAAAAGACTGTATTCTAATTTAAACTGTTAATATTGTTTTTACCATGTATAAGATTTTCTTAGTAATCATAGATTTACCTAAAATAAAAGGGTCCAGGATGCAGTGCTATTTAGTTAATAATTTGTTTTAGAAAACATGCAGTCAGGAGTATTTTTGTATTTTGGCAGCTATATTTAGCAGATAAACTTTTTAGTTCTGTTTCTTATCTTTTCCCCAGAACTTTTCTTAAAAGGGTAATATATTAATAATACCAGAAGTCAGGCAGATAGATTTTGTTACCAAAACTTTTGGTGAATTTCTCATTAAGGTGACATTTTATATTGGGCCAACTTTTCCCTGTCCACTATAAATTCAGTAACCAGCTACGAGTATATGTAGAATGTTCAATTTGCAGAGATTTATGTTGGTTATGTTGATTTATAAAAGACAAGGTTTATGGTCACATGCAATTATTTCATTATCCTTTCAGACATAGTGAATATATTTTTAAGCTAGAAATGTTCTTGGAAATATAAATGCATGCCAACAACATGAAATATTGAACTCAGTGGAATAAAATCCTTAAAAAAATGTAAGCATCTTATTAATTAGCAGTTGACTCTCTGAATTAATTAATTAGGAAAACTTGAAATGCAGTGAATATAGAGGCTAATTCTCAAAAATGACCTTATTCCTAGGGCAGGGATTGTGATCCGCTTCTCAGCCTTAGTTATACCTAAGAAACATATGAGAAACCAATATTGCAAAAGAGATCAACTTGAAATATTAGACTCAATTATCTTCATTCCTGCTCTTCTTCAATGGAAAAGGACTGTACAGATGGTTACAGTGGTATTCCAAGTGTCTTGTTCTCACAGCAGCAAAAACAGAATTAATCTGAAGCTAGATTTGTTCAGTATAGGTTTCCTCTTTTTGGCATGCTTTTTAGATTTTTTTCATTTTGTACAACCTCAGTGCATTTTGCTTTATTGGTATGTTCATGTACACTAGATATGTTTGTACAGGATATAAGTAGATGTATAAATCCTTAGATACCTGGATTTTTTAATAGGTTTAGATTTTGATATTGTGTTTCTGGTCTTTTAACTCAAAATTAAGGTTTGAGCTTTAATAGAACTAAATTACCATGCCTTGGCTGTGCCTTTATTTTAAATACTACAATTTTACTTCCTCATTCATGTATTTATTATTTTGCTTTTCTTGCTTATCTATAATTGAAAACATTTAAAGGGACACATCCATGGTTAATTTTATCAAATTGAATGAGTAGGATCATTCTATTCTCTCCTCATCAGATTTCTATCCTTTATTTAACTTCATTAACATATACCCTGGTGACTCTAACCAACGAACTGTTCAGATCCAGTCCTTCCTGCAAGAACTATGACACTGAATATGATCTGATTTTGTTGGGTTTCAGGCACATAAGCATGATTTAGATTTTGAAAATCACTTCTCTTTTAACATATTTCAAACATGTGTTTGCTTTCCACACTTTGCTGATTTTATTCAGGCTTTTATTCTTTGAAGACTATGTTCATTTAGTCACTGTGGTGGATACCTTCTATTGGAAGTACTAGTCTGATTTAAAAATCATTGTAAAATATAAATTAGCTGAGTATGCTGTCAGTTATTGTTTCCCCAGGCTTGTCAGTGCATGGCTGCTACATTTTTACATGAGCATAAGTACTTATCCTGATACACCTTTTGCTGACTTCTGTAAACATTTATATTAAGTTTAAATAAGTGATATCCAATGCAGTACACACTTTTTAAATCTTTTTTTAAACTGGATATTTTGGTTATCTGAAGCATTGGATGCATTTTATGTGATGGATAAAAATAGCAAAAGAGAAAGAAAAAAGTTTCAGTGGTGTGCTCATTCCAAATTAAGAAGATAGAACAAAAAGAAAGACGTCAATGTTTCCCAAGAAACACATTTAAAATCCCAAGAAGCATTACTATCTTCACTTGATTTTTCTCTTCTCCCCTCCACAATGGAAAGCAGTGCTTTTTAAGTCAGATATAGTCTACCTGCTCTTTCCTGCAGGTGTGAGAAAACTGCAGCGGAAAGCACACAGGCATGGCTCCGTGGGGCGTGAGTAATGTCACCTAAGGACCAAGGCAGACACAATTGAATCGGAGTTTGCAAATAGGAAGTTGGTTTACACAGTTCAGTTTTGAACCAATATTTTTATAGTACTGTATATTGGCAGAAGTTTGAGTGGAAAGTTTTTATTTCTATTGTACGTTAAGTTTTAAAAGTGTATTATCTAATACTCAAGCCCAACTAAAATATCATTGTACCATGGGCATTGCAGCCTTTGTTTTTTTCTTTAGTCACTTTAATAGCCAGTCCTATGCTGTAGCTCAAATAGCCTGTATAAATGACATATGGAAACAGTATTTTCCATCTGATGTGTTATATGATGTGTATGCTATGTGTTCATTTAGTGTGCAAATTGAAAGTACAATAGATTGATCCACAGAGATATTTCTACACAATGCCCCTACCTATCTGAAATTGTGCTTGCCCAAAACACTGTGTTT